GGGGCCTCTAGGTAAGAATTTTCTTACATTTTAATTAATATATAACATACACAATGCATAACAATATTACCTCACCAACCACTCCGCTAGCTCATAAATCAGATAAGCCTAAACCGATAACGCCGATCACTATAATAAACAGAAATTCAATTTCACAAACTTCTAAATCGATTACTAACACATTTACTTTTTCTGATAATGAAAATGAAACCGACTGGTCAACTATCATCTCAAATAGTAAAGATAAAAGGAAAAAAAATTCATCACCCGGCTCGTCTCCAAAAGCAAAACAACCTAACAATAACACAACAAATAATTTATGACAACTCGGTCGTTTTTCTACTTTAAACTCAGATATCCATGATCACAACGACATAGAAACTGAGCAAATAATTGATTCACAAGAACCAAAATATCAACCCCCCACCTATTTTTATAAAATCAGATCTCAAAGGCTTTTGTGAAGCTATACAAAAAACTATAGGTTCAAATGCATTTAGTTGTAAAGTAGCATTAAAGGATTAAGACTGCAAACCAATACACCGGATGATTATAGAAAAATTGTACGCTTGTTTAAAGGAAAAAATGTGGACTTTCACACATATCAAATACAACAAGATAAATCTTATAGAGTCGTTTTTCGTAATTTGCACCATAATACCACTCCAGTAGATTATATAAAACAAGAACTGGCAATTCATGGTTATAACGCATTACAAGTAGTAAATGTATTACAAAGTAAAACCAAAATACCATTTAGAAGCAAATCAACAAAATTCCGAAATTTTTAAATTAAATTCGATTTGTCAATCTAAAATAAAAATAGAGGAACCCCATCCTCGCCGTCACTTAATACAATGTGTAAGATGTCAAGATTTTGGTCACACAAAAAATTTCTGCAACCATCAACCACGTTGTGTTAAATGTGGAGAAACACATTTGACACAAAATTGTACAAAAACACCAACCACCCAAATGTGCATTATGTCAAGGACAACATCCATCGAGTTACCGAGGTTGTACAGTCTACAAGGATCTCACGAAAAAACAGAAATCAACCACTTACAAAAATACTCAAGAACCGAAAACACAAACTCCAAATTCAAATATTGTAAATGAACCTTTAGGTCACACCTCACAACAAACGTTTTCAAACGCACAATATCAAACACAAAAAACGTACGCCCAAGAACTGACTAACGACAACACTCAAGTCTCAAAAAACCTTATAAACAAACTATCAACATTTATTAATGATCTCAAGTCATTAATTAACCCACTAATTACTCTTCTCACCACTGTTATAAACAAAATACTATTAAAAAATGACTAACTCTAGCAATAACATACCTAAATTAATTATACTTCTTTGGAATGCAAATGGAGTAAACCAACATAAAAACGAAATACAGCATTTTCTCTTCGAAAAAAAAATTGATATTGTACTAATTACAGAAACACATTTAACACACAAATCTAATTTTAAAATCAATGGCTATACACTTTATTAAACCGACCATCCAGACGGTACAGCATATGCTGGTACAGCAATATTTATTTCTTCTAACATTCAGCATTATCAATCACCGGGATTTCAAGAAAATTTTTTACAAACAACAGTTATTAATATTAAAATAAAAAACATACTAACTCAATCGCGTCTGTTTACTGCCCACCTGGTTAAAACAAGCTCTAATGATTTAAACAGATTTTTTCAACGTTAGGTCACTCATTTATTGCTGGAGGCGACTATAACACTAAGCACAATCTTTGGGGAAGTAGAGCTTCCTCCAATCATAGAGGAAACACCCTTCATACTTTATTAATAAATAATAATTTTTCTTACATATCACCTTCAGAAGTAACCTACTGGCCAACACATACTACAAGGTTACCAGAAATACTAGATTTCTTTGTTACCAAAATACCTACTCATACACATACAAGTATTCAAAATGTATCTGATTTATCAAGTGATCATTCTCCAGTAGTACTTTTTATAAAAGAAAAGCCATTATTAAACACAAGGCCATCTCTTTCTTTCGGACCTATGAATTGGGATAGTTGCAAACAAAAACTAGACAGCAAAATTACTTTAAAAGTACCCCTTAAATCTCAAGAAGATATAGATGCAGCAGCCTACTCCATCACACAAATTATTCAGCAAGCAGTTACTATTTCATCAAAACACTTTAACTTTCATTTAACTAATTCTATGGAAAAATTACCTCTAACTATTCAACAATTAATTATTGAAAAAAGGCAAGCTAGAGCTAAATGGCACAATACTAGATTATCAAGCCAAAAACAGTATTCTAATAGGCTAGCAAATGCTTTAAAAAAGAAACTATCTGTGTTCAAAGCAAATTAGTACACACTATATCTTAACTCTTTAAATCAAAATAATGGTTCTCTTTGGAAAGCAACTAAAAAGCTTACAAAAAAAAAAGAAAATATACCTCTAATACGTCAAGAAAATGGCACCTTAGCTATAACGGATCAAGATAAAGCCAACATTTTTGCGGCATAATTGGCAAAAACATTCACTCTTAATACTAATTTATACTCAGACACTAACTTCAATGAAGAATTTAAAACCTTCTTAACAACTCCACTACCAATGGTTTTACCAGCCAAATATACAACTCCAGGTGAAGTAGAGTATTTAATAAAAAAACTCCCTCTAGGGAAAGCGCCCGTTTATGATTTCATTACCAATAAAATTTTAAAAAATGTATCACAAAAAACCATGCTTTTGTTAACCTATATTTACAATGCGATGCTAAGGTTATCATATTTTCCTATAATCAGGAAAACATTAAGAATAAGGGCAATAATTTTGTATGAGGAAGAAAATAAAAGCAACCAAGACGTAGAAGAACATGGGTACGAAAAATGTCAGTTGAAAGTTAAACTTGTTGTGTTCAATTCTTTTCTAATTTTTGCCCATATTATATTTTTATGATTAATATCACTGTATTTTCTGTGGGCCATATTATAAAGTTCATCGTATTGACGAACTTTTTCTATTAAAATTTCATCATCCATATTAAAATAACGATAAATATAATACAAATAAAAGTAAAAATATAATAATGATTCATATAGAAATACAATGTATCTTTTCGACCCAGGTGTTCTGTTTACACATCCATACTATCCGAATAAATAAGAACGGACCGGCATCAAAATATAGTTTTCGATTAAGGTCGATTCACCTGTATGGAACGTCAACGTCACTTTCAACATTATTGTTATTAAAAAGTATTATATTAATTAAAAATAAATATTAAATATTAAAAATCAAGCTGTATGAATTTAATTTTCAAAATATTTATTTATGTTATTACAATAAATTGCAAACAATCGTAAGACATAAATGTTCATCGAACAATACCTAAAAGGCCGTAAACCTAATGAAACAATAGAATCCGTTTGACGAATGTGACCGTTCGTTGAACGTATTTCGAGGAACGTGTCCGTTTGTCGAACGTATACGTTCAAAAATAGACCCCCTGTTTCCTTACTCACTGAACACCTTCTATATTTGATTAACACAATTCACTACCATTAACAATTTTTTATGTTTTATAACTATGTTTTTATAACATAAAATTTATTCAAAAAGTAACATTTGCAAAAAAAATTTTTTTTTAATTTTAAAAATAACTGTTTTACGTTATAAATTTTATTATGTTTAATAATAATTAACATTTAATAATATCACATATACTTTTTTATATTTTAAACGTTATTATTATAACAGATTATCATAACATTTTATTACCCTGCACTCTGTATGTAAATGGACGTTGTAGAAAACCGTACAATTTCCGTATAAAAATCGCAAATTTGGAAATAGAGTTGTTTTTTTACAAATTCGTGCTATTCATAGGCATTTTAGGAGAGAAAAAATAGGGAAACCAATTTCTCTTTACTTTAAACTATTTTTTTTGTAATATTTAAGTAATTTAAAATTGATTTAATGTAGAATATGAACTGTTTCTACGTCATTAGTTGTCTTTTTCCAAATTTATCATTAGGTATTACATTAATATGAGTCATAACCGCATTTGAATATTCTTCGACCTTGGCAATTATATAATAAATGATATGGCTTTAAGGGGAAGGACTAGAGGTCGATCGATCTAGCGTTAGCTCTCGTAACTTAACAAGCCCAAATAAATTTTATAAAATATTTCCCTTTTTTTATTCATAAATTTTTCATGAAAGTTGTATATTCATGTTTCATATAGTTCTTAATCCAGCCCTGTACATTTTCAAACCTCTAAAAATGAACTATAAATTTACTATTAATAATAACAAGCATCACTCAGTCATTCATAAATATTACTTTGGATTGAATAAAAACTTAAGATAAATGTACACCTCAAAAACTTTCTAGACACGATTCGAACATTTATTTATTTCACTAGTTTAAATGAAATTATTATTAAATAAATTTAATAATAAATAAGTAACCCTACATATTATGAAGGCTGACGGTAAATTTTAAAGATTGTATATTTTTCATGTTTGCTCAAAAATTCATATTTGAAATTATAAATTAATTAGATGTTAAAATTGGCTGATTTAAAAGAAGACTCTTAATAAAATGAACGATTCTTTTTTTTTTTAATTATTATGGTATAAAACGGATTTAGATTCTTTTAACCAAACATTTTTTTTAAACATATTCCCCAAATTTAGCTTTGAGAAAAAACAATATTGGATGGTAAGAATTGAATGTTATTTTTATTTTTTATGTATATAATATTTAATAGTAAATTTTTGTTTTGTCTTACCTATACTATTTTTAACAATAGGATTTTCTTTAATAATTATGTAAGAAAATTCATTATTATTTCAGAAAATGTTCACTAATACCTTATATTAAAGTTGTATTAGAATAAAAATTTCTTAAAAACAAATTTTTAGAAAATTCTTTGAAATTATTAGATTTAATTTCATAACAATGAGTAAGAATTAATACAGAAAAATTGATTATAACACAAATAGTAATTTATTTTGTTTTACAATATCAAATAAAAATTGATCTTCAATATTTTCATATATTAAATAACAATATAATTCATAAATCTTTGTTTTCTAATTCAAAGAAAATTTATTGTAGGTTAGAAAATGATATTACCATTTATTTGATTCTATACAGTGTTATCTTTTGTCTTCTCGCTTTACAGCACACCCAGGACATACATGTAATGTATTATGAATATAAAAGTCACAGCTGTCACAGTAGTGTTTCTTACAGGATTCACACAAATAAACTGGTTCTGATGGAATCCGTATCCTTTTTCTACATCCATAACAATAAGCCATAGCACCTTCTTCTGGTTCAATCTTTACAAATGATTTAATTGGAACCAGATGATGTAAAGAACGAGCCAAATGCAATGAAGATACTAATATTAAACCACAACATTTGCATTCGACAGGTAATTCACAATATTTGCTATTACACTGTGGGCAAAAATAACCTTTAGCATTCAGTTTACCACCTTCAGTTAAATGACATGAACATGTAGTAAATGGAGGCTTTTGCTCTAACTCTTGAGGAAACCCCATTTTTACACATGATGCATCAACTGAACTAGGTAATGGAACTGGTTCTACTAAAGACCATAAAACATGCTTAAAATGAACATCATCAACAATAACACTATGTTTTCCTTTAGTTTCATCACACAATTGTCGAAACATCCGAACTTCAGCAGCTAGATGTATAATAGAAACTCGAATATTATTTGTTTTAAGAGTCTCCAATGTGGTATTAATCTCTCCTGGATCACATGAACTCAAACTAGAACCAATAATAAGAATTTCTCGACTTGTATGTGATGGCAAAGTTTTCATAAAAGACAATGCTAAGTCTAAAGAATTCTGTACAGATAAGAGACCGTTACAGTAATGAAAATTTCCAAGAGTCTTTTTCAATTCTTCTAAGTGATATTTTCGATTGCCTGATAATTCAGTAATTCGTTCTGCTGAAGAATTACGTGTTACAATAAGACCAAGTTGACTAATTGGATTTTGATCAAAATAATCTTGTATAAAATCTTGAAGTAATTTATAAGTACAGATTTGCCTAGTAGGTTTTAAATCTTTTTCTAGCATAGAATTTGAACAATCAATTATAACATATAAATGTCGCATCATGCCAAGGCGGATATTGGGTTGACGTACAGCCAATGATCGTTTGGATTTTTCTATAATTTCCTTGACAGACCATTCTACATTTCCTCCTTCATCTTCTTTGACTTCTTCCCAAGTTTTTTCATAACCTCCCTCCCAACGATATTCTTTTACTTCAGATTCTTCTTCCATTGTTACAATCTTAACAAAAACAATTTTTAATGTAATATTAAACACTGATATATGAATACAAAATATTTACCGAGCAAAATGTTTAAGAAAAATAAAAAAATTTTATATTGTCATATAGTAAAAATTAAAAAAATCATAAACACAAATAAAAATTTGTTTATTGAAGAAAAAATTATAAATGTAAACTTTATCTAGTATTTATTAGTACCCAATGACTAAAAATGAATACAATATAATTTTTAATGGTATATTGAATAATTTACAAAATTAAAAACCATATTTCAATATTTTTTATATACTGCAACATCAATTACCTAATTAGAACTGTTAAAAAAATCAGTTTAATATTAAAAAAAAAATTATATACAATATCATTTGATTTTAATTTTTTATTAAAAAATTAAATAGTAATAGGAGGAAAATATAATTTAAATTAAGATATTTACATAAAATACTTACAAATAGGAGTTACGGTATAATTTGATAATAAAAAATATTACAATAATAAAATTAATCTACTTAGATCTGAGAAATTTTTATATGTAGTACATAAAAAAATTAAGAATAAGTAAAATTAAAATTTTTCAATTAGAATAAAGTTAGTTAAATAACGTATTAAAATTATATTTTGTAAACAACCTAACATTATCAAATTGCGATATTGTTTATCAAATATCCATAATTCTTTCTGATAATAAATTTATAAACCCTTTGGAAAAAAAATTTCGATATTAGTTAGTTCTTATAACAGTTAATCAACAATTTCTGAAAAAATTTTTAAAGTGCCTTTTATTATATCAATTGCAATAGTTACATATTTAGTAATTTTTTTTCTTTTAATTCCTTAAGTATTTCTAAATATAGTTAATTGTTTCATTCATACTAATGCTTATTTTATAATTATTTAATGACGATGCTCTTATTTGTATCATATGTAGTATACTTTTATGCGAATTAAAGATGTTTCATTTATAATTTTAATATATTGTCAGTTTTACGTTGTTATACTTCAAAGTACTATATTTCAAAAGAAAATTAAGGATATAGCACATTACTTATTGTAAGTATACTTCATTCTGAATTTCTACTTTTTATCCGTATGTTTTAGATTTGTATTTCTAAAAAATCTTCAAATTTAGAACTTAATTTATTACTTATTTTTTAATGTATTGTAGGCATTTCATAGTATTTATTTAGTTAATTTTCAACATTTTTCTAATCACATTTAATCATGAGAATACAATAAATAGGAAACGAGCAGATTAAAATAGTTTAAAGTATGATAATATTTATTAAAATTTAATAATATTGTATTTTATTTCTTAGATTAATATGGCCAATAATAAAAATTTCAACAAGCCCTACAAAATTATAGACTCTAGGCGTGAACATAAAATTGGAGTTGTAGCAAATTCTCTATCTGAACTTATTATAAAAGGTAATAATGCATATATTTGTATAAAAAATTTAAATTTAAGCTATATGTACATAAAAATTTTTATTCAACAGTTCTATAAATGCTATGTGAGATTTTAGAGAATTTAAATTGGGTTCTATATTTTTAACATTTCTTGTAGTAATCCAGTTATTTAGTCTATTCTTACCATATTCATTTTTGTCTTAATTTTTACTAATAGCTCAACAAAAGCTCAAAATTAACGGACCTGTTAAAGTTGTATTAGAAATTGATGGTACTGAAATTGATGAAAATGATTACTTTGAAACTTTAGAAGATAATACTTTATTTATGATACTTAAATCAGAAGAAAAATGGTGTCCTTATAGTGCAATAAGGTATACAATTTTAAAATTTATAATTTTACTATCAAAGTTAACAAGTTTTATTTTTATTTGTAGTATTAAAATTGGTGATGATCATGTTGATGGTACTCAAAATTTGTACAACTTAATCGAACGTTTGAAAAACGATATTGGCCAAATTACATTACTAGGTGGTTGCGATCTTGAATTACTATCAGATATGAATCTTGAAGATATGGAAAACCTTGGAATTGATAAGTAATTTGTTCAAACGACTTAAAAAAGACAATTATGTTTTATTTTAATTGTAATTTTTACAGATCGTTTTTAGAAAACATCAAAGAAGCTAGTGGAAGATACTTATCTGAAAAAAGAGAAGCTCAAGATGCATTAAATTTGCTCAAGTTATATCATGCTTCAACTGTTAAACAAAATGCTTCAAAGAAAAACAAAGTTTAAGAAATAATAATCTTGTTGTTAAAATGATGTAATATCAGTTATATGATCTCTAAATTTTAGCTATATTATATTGTCAATTTTTTAATGACTGCAACATTTTTGTAATTTTATCCTCATAACATAATCACCATCAATCTTAGCAATGAAAGTATTTTACCAATTTTTAAGTTTAACAAAAGTTTTAATGCAGTTTTAAAATAATTTGCAACATTGTTCTTTCTATATTTTAACTAATATTATGCATAATTTGAATTAAATTATTTGTATTTTTAATTTTTCTAAATTAATGTAGTCACCAAAATTTGAATATTTTATACTTAAATATTTTACACAATTATTTTAAATTATCAAAACTTTCAGAGAAACACTTTTTATGTTAGACAAAACAAATTGTGTGGAGTAATAAAATAATATTTTATACATTTTAAAAGAACAAACTTTGTTTACTGAAAAAATATTTCAGAATACTTTATCTTATTAATAGCCAGTTAATACCTAATAATTTACTGGTAAATGTTAAATAATATTTCCATAGTTCTTAATATCTAATATTAGGTATCACCACCATCCACCACAGACCATATATAATACATAAGTATACACCACTGATAGATTTCTACTATATTGAATACCTTTTTATACCTGCAAAACGCTAAAAAATAAACATTAAATAATAATGACTGATTGATAATATCTTTTAAACATTCATGTATTTTTATATTAACTTTTTCCAAAAAATTGGAAGTTTAATTTTTATACAACTAATTTCAAAGTACATAACATTGGAAGAGTAAAATAATTAATTCTAGAAACGGTAAACACTTAATTAACAATATTCAATATTTAATAAATCATTTGAATAAAATGGATTTTATACAAGATTTAAATTAATAGTTTTTAAGAACAAGAATAAAGTCGAGGTAATAGTTTCCAATGATAACTTGCTTATTACAAAAAAATAAATATATTTCATTAAAATGTTGAGTAAAATATATAATGTGTATGTGTGTGAATTTAATTAAGTAATTTTAAGCGTATATATTTCCTGTTCTTAAACATATATAAGTACACACAGAATAAACATTCACAATATTGTATATAAATTATATTTTAGTTGTAATATATAGAATAAATATTTAATATTAAAAACTTGTAACTTGAAAAATTTTTTATAATTGCTTTATAAATAATATTAAATTTTATTGTCTAAAATATTTTTTCTAAAAAATATTAGTATAGAGAACTTAATTTAAAGCCAATGGTAACAAACCTATTTATAAGTATCAGTTCATTATATTGTGTTAAAGAAACATATATCTAAAATATTGTGTTGGTGAATAATATATATTAATTCATCGGTATATATGCATATATATATATATATATATATAGATATACATATTAACACATATTATGTTTTAAAAAATAAAAATATAACTTACTCAATATTTTAAAATTAATAAAATTTTGTAGACACATACAATAGAGATGTTACATATAGGTTAGGTTGTACAGAAAAATGTTTAAATCTTATGTTTAGGTTGAGCTTTAGAATAAAAACAAAAACAATAATCAACCATTTCTAATAGTTATAGCTCAACAACATTATAATGAAAAATACTGTGCTACAATAATAATTAGTCACAGAAAACTCATAAATAAGAATAAAAGCAATTCATATTATTTTCTAAAAATTATTAATTTAATACTGAAAAGAACAAAATAAATTTGTGTTGTCTTTTGTTTGACATTGCTAGTAACGATTCATAAAACATAACAAAATATGGAATTACAGAAGAATATTCAAATTACTTTCAATTAAAATTTTCTACTAATGTTTATTGCAAAGGGTAAGATTTAATTTATTAATAAATTATGTAATATTTAGATAAAGGGACAAGACCAAATTATGGCAGTGGTACAACTATTTGTACATAAGTAACTGGAAAGTATCCAGTACGCCCGTTAGCACTGCCTTCATACCAATTTTCATCCACCCTATTCAACAGTATAATCGTTTCACCTTCCTATAACAAAAATATAAATTTTTTTAAGTAATGCTAAAATTTCAAAAATTATTAAAAAACTTATTTTATAAGATGTATACTTGTTAACATATCTTAATTAGTATACTATATAATCACTTAAGTTTTAAAATTAAGTACTGAGATATTGATCTAACCAGCTATCTCATTAAAATTTATATAATAATACAGATGAAACAATTGCTCATAAACAAGCTTATTGATGAATAAAACTTTTATTAAGAAAATTTTATTCAGCCAACATAATTTAGCTAAATCACAAGATCGAATAACTTGCAAATATAAAATAATAATTGTACAATTCAAAACAAATAATTATTGAGTTATAAATATTAAGTTACTGTTTATGATAATATCTATAATGATTTAAAATATTATTTTGTGTATTCCTAATAAGACGATATGGCCCTTGAAGTTTTACTTACATAATTAACTCAATGCATTCTATTATTTTAAATATACTTTAACAGTTAATGATCACTTATAACTAGGGCTAAGAGTTATATACATTTATAAATTTTGTGTAGTTATGTGAACTCACAATGAAAACTTAGTAATGTATTATTTTGTGATTATAGTTTTGGTAGGGTTTATCTCCCTTGAAATTTAAACTATTTTTACTATATTATCCTACGACTATGTTATACAAACTGGGGCCCTTCAAAGTCAATCAAACAAAATTTAAAAATGTAAATAATTTCTAACACTATAATAATTATAATAAAACAATTGTGGGTAGACTAACATAATAATAAGTAAATGAACACAATATGAGTTTTTCATATTTTAAAGTTCTTTATTTATTAATACTTTAATGTCATATTCATGAGATTAAAACATGTTTGTTATCTGGAAAATTCTCTGTAGTTATATGTAAATAATGTTGAAATTAACTAACACACACATTTAATTAATTATTTAATATTGGAAATAAATATTCTTCAGTAAATAAACAGCTAATGAATATTATATCAAGAGCTATAATATTTCAGTAGGACCTAATTTAGATATTTTCTTTATTAGAAACCATACCAACTACACTATGGCTCAATCAGATAGCATTTTTTAGTTAAAAAATTAGCAGTGTTCGATCAGTGATAGTATTTATCCACTGATAATGTTACCCTATGTATAATAAGCAATTAATAAGTTATTAATTTTATAGCATTTGATTTCCCAACATTTTGATAATGAATTATGCTCTAGAAGAATTAATTAATAAAAGAAAAAATTTCAGTGTAACTTTATGACTTTTATTTAAAATTGAGATTGTTAACTATTTCTTATCATCAAGTATAATGTATTATTAACTTTTTAGAAATTAATCATGAAAAATTAAGTTGCTTATTATAAAATATATTTAAAAAAATGAGTAGTGAATCTTTGAAGTTAGAAATCTAATAGTAAATTTAAAAAAAAAACAACCATATTTAAAGTACTAACTTTAAATCCTAGTTCTCCAGGGTTCTCAGCCTCAAAATCATAAAGAGCAGTACAGCATGGTGTATTACGGGGTATTTGCCTTTGAACAGACTTCGTAGGAGATAATGCAGGAGACGCTAAAATACAAAAAAAAAACATTAAATTTATTTCTCTTTTTTTAAAAGTAAAAAAAAAGTAGTGCAATAAAAAAATCGATAATAAAATAAGCGAAATTCACTAACATGCAACATGAAAATTACAAGCGTGTTCTTATTAACAGTTATATTTTTTACAGCAACTTATTATTTTTAGCGAGTTTTTCAGACAAAAATTTTAATTACTTTCAGTGGCTTTGGTTAAAAAAAAATATTATAAATTTAAATTCCTCTTTGTTAAAATTTTTTTAATTGCATATCTTTCAGAAAAAAGTATCTAGTTGTTCTTAGTACACGCTTATGATAAAACATTACCAAAACCAACCAACAAAAATTCATTACACAATACCAATAAAAAATATATATCAAAACAAATTATAAAAAACATATTTTACACAATAAATTGTCTTAAAAGAGTAGAACACTAGTTGAACTTAATTTTTAATTAAACACAATTAATAAAAACAAACACATTTTAATAGTTTACACATAGGATTTTCTATTAATGTATAATAAATAATGTATTCTGTTGGAATATCAACTAAATTATCTTATAAATCGTAGCAATATTCAACGTATTTTTATAACCATAAATGTCAAATAGTCTGAAAACCTTTGACAAAATCTAAAAATCAAATATCTGAAGATGACATTCTTCAAAATATATCATAATAATTAGAAAACATATTTAATGTTTCATGTTCCACATTTTTTTCTCATTAAAGTTAATAGTAAAAGAGATACATGCAGATTACAAAACATACTTTTCAAAAATTCTTCTTTGAAAATTAAGTTTTTACACTTAAAATACGTTTGCCGAAATGCCACATAGTTTTATAAGGAAGTTATTACATTGCACATCACAACGATTACTGTTATTTTTATGTTGTCAAAAACCAATTAGATTGGTTTATGTGTACGTTGAAAAACAAATTTAGAATCAAGGAAATGTTTTTGAACTATTGTTTTCTCTATACTTGTTATTTCACTTAAAGTTTTTCAATTTCGAAGCAAAGATGTTACTTCTGAATAACACTTACACAGAATGATCGATTTAGGAAAAGACACTCATTTTCTAGGAAACTATTGAACATTTTTAATTTTTGTAAAGAGAAAAATTAAATAATTATTTTTCGTCCCTTCAGAGAAAAGAAATAATAATTGGTATAACTGAATGATTAGAAATCGAAATAAAAATTATTGAAAGATTAGTGCGATTGAATTACAATTTATAATTTACATTGCTTGAACAGATTTTATAAATAATCGTATCTATTGATGTGAAATTTATTTTAAAATATGAAATAGTCAAAACTCAAAACTATTAAGTATAAATATTGAAATATCAATTGTTTACTATTATTAACGAACGACATAAATAGATAACTTGACCGATTCGGGTTTCGTGTACAGACGTGTCACTGGACAAGACCCGACATGATTTTAGTCAGATGACACATCTATTATTTGAATAAAAATACTTACACTCAACAGGGTCTCAATCATTTATTTTATTTTAAAATATGCTTAATATAATTTTTTAATCATTATTTGTATTAAAAATAAAGGGTTATTTTTATTTATCAAATGACATTTATGTGGTTTTATACATTTTGATGAATTTTTATCATGCAATTTATTCAAGAATCAAGTGATTCGGTTAATTTGATCTTGGTAAATACCTATGAATGTCTGTATTTCAATTTTCAGTAACTATTATTTCAATTTAAACAGTCGAAAAAAAAATAGCCAAATCATTCGACTATTCCTATTAATTAAAAAAAATTAAGATTAATTTTCTTAAACGATAACCCCAATTGTTAATACGATAGAAAACATAATAATAATGATCATTACGAGCCGATCTTTAGTCCACCTATAGTAAAACAGTGTTTACTTGTTAACTATTTGGTGGCATATACGCGTTTCTAATTAAAAAGATCAATTTTACTCGTACAAAATCTAAAAATATTTATCTACCGCAGTTTATTAAATGAACCAACAATTAATAGATATATAAAGAAAACAAGAAATGTTATGTTGAAACTAACTACTTAAATGAAAATCAGTAACTACAAGTAAATACAAGCGTGTCATAATTGGTCTTAAACAAATTTCCTCAATGAACGTCAAGTAGTTATGTACCATTGTGATGCGGTTGTGAATGCTGATTATCGTGATGGTTTGCTCCTGATGTTAAGTCCGACTTGGTATGCGTCGGGGATGAAGCTCGTGAACTACCTATTATTTGATATTAATTTCAGTGTTACATTCATAAACAAAAGTCTACCCAATGACATTTACTCAATGAATATACAAAAATATATAATCGGATTGTACGATTTAAAAATATAGTAAAGGTTATACAATGTAAAAACTCAATATTTTAAGAATTTAATTGGCAACCGCCAATGCGTCGGAAAACTTCAAATGGCGTTAACAATTTCGAATAAACAATTTTAATGTCTACTAAAATTAAGAAGTAATTAGGAGTGTATATAAAAGCATAAATAGTATCTTTCTTTAATAGCAATTCAATTATTTTTCATTGAGGTACGGAATAGCTGATTAATTAATAGTACACATCAGACGGGTAAGTAGCCATAAAAAGTACGAATGTTAGTGAAACTCAAAAACATTAAACGCATTAATTTACTTTAGTGGATAGCTTGTGATTACCTTTGAAGTGTGCGAGTCGTGACTTGATGAACTCAAACTCGCCTGAAACGAATCCACTAGTGTCAGTACTTATGCTTAAACTAAATCGATTTCACTCGAAATTCGAATATATACGCGATAGAAAGACATCATTGATTCTATATAAGTACCATCCAAAAATAGAAAACGCACTTTTGATTCTCCACCAAAAGCGTTTCATTATTTGTTATTTATTTTTGAATCGATAGTTATGTGAGAACCAAGATAGCGTGTCGAAGCAACGCTATTAAACAGTATTTGAAAATACTTTTGAGGTTATAATAACTTCTGTATCGTTTAATTGTGGTGCAGTAATAACAAAAAAGGCTACTTACCATTAATATCGTCCGAGATTACATCTACCGGGTGAAGATCATTAAGAGTCTTGGGCACAAATTCTAATTTCGGTCGACTTGCCGCTTGGTCACGTCTGCAAATGACAAAAAAAATACAATAAATTTCTTTCAAACCACACGATTTTACATGTTTAGCACGTACTTTTCTTGAATTTCCATTACGGCCAATTTCAAAATTTCAGAACACTGTTGATGGTATTCGAGTAGAGATTCAGCAAAAGTAGTCAGTTGTGAAATTTGTTCCACCTAAAACAGTGAATATTAAATAGTAAATACAAAAATAAAAGTATATTTCTTTAAAAAATAATAACTAATTTGTTTATTTTTACTACTACATCATATCATATATAATATATGATATTTGAGAATTGATAGAATATTACTAACGTCATTGTCGAGCAAATTGAACATTCCTATCTGAGCACTGTGTAAGGACTCAGCGAATTTTTCTTCGGCTTGTTTCAGTTCTTCGTCACTAAAGTGTGAACCTACAAAAAATAAATTACCATTATGCAGTCTGTACATAAAAAATTTGGCGAGATATACCTTTGGCTTGTTTTCTTCTTTTACAATCGTAATCTAGCCTTCTTCCTTGTAACTTTTTTCTATGGTGCTACATTAGATAAACGTTACATAAATTAATTAACTACTATAAATCGTCAAAGCAAAAGTACTTATTGCAAACAGTTACCATAACTTCCTTTAAGTCTTTTGTTTGTAAGTGATGTAGAGGTTCAAGGAAATTCTGTTTAGTATTGTCATCTAAGGCATATTTGACATCGGCCATTTGTTTGAGTGCTTCACCCATCTCCTGCAAGGCTTGACCAAATAAGCTATCATCACCTAATTTCTTGCCGTATAGGAGAAGACAATCTCCAAGTGTGCCTTCGGCTTGTGGATATGTGGAGGCTTTAGCTTGGCCACTCAATTTTGATATGCCTTTGACAGCAGCCATTTTAGCTCTGGCAGTAGGATTGGGCTGCAAAAACTCTTTAGTTTTCATCTGTAGTTCTTCGACTAACTCATACGTTACATCAGTTTTCTACGATCAAAACGAACAGCATAAGTTTTAGCGCAAAATAATATAATAGTAGGTAATTACCCTCTCCATATCCACAAAATCGACATCTAGTTTCGTGCCTTCGACCCCTCCTATTTTCTCTGTCATGTACTATAAAAAGTATTAAATAAATACTTAACAATAATTGTTTTTAGATACACGAATAAATCAATATACAGAATAATAAGTAAAATGTAATATAGTATCGTATCGTACCGAACTTAGACAAGTTCACATAAATGTTTTTCCCTAATTCTACGTTTGCGTTTAATTTAAACCAAATTTAACTATAATAGTATATTAATTGAGCTATTAATATAACATAAATGTTATACAAATTTAAACCCCATCAAAATTAGTTAGATTTCCTTCTAAAATTAAAAATGGATTCAAAAATGAATACTGAAAATTTAGTTCGAAAAATAGTCAACATAAGTTTGGACACAGTTCATAAAAATAATAATTTTTTAATAATAAATAATTACAATTTAATTTTTTCGTTAATTCAAAAAATTCAGATTGTAAAAATGTGGCCCCCACACTAGAGAATAATAATTACTTCATTTTAAGGCAAAATAATTTTATTTCAGAAATCTTTCAAAAAAAATGTAACCAAAGTACTAAACATACAATCTTTTAGATCTCTGTAACTTAAACAAAGCGATTTGTCACAATCTAATTATTAACGTTTTCCCTTTCGTGTAAACGGTTAACAGTCTAGGTGAAAAAAAGACGCATGCGAGTGATTCATCAATTTTATATTAACACGAGACAACAAACACTAGGATTTTACCCAAATTTCTTATATTTCATGCATATTTTGGACTAATGTCTTTTAAGTTTATATGGGTAATCATTTCAGAATTCTATCAGAAGAATCGTGATCAATGGGCAGCTGAAGAAAAGAACCATAAAACTTTATAACTTGCCCCTTACTGGTAACCCTTCACCGCAGTAGCATCATCTAATTCAACCCGAACAGCAACGACAACGGCTGCCGGCGTACCGAGCGAATAGGGCAGAGCTTTGTTAATCAATAAAGTTCTCTCGCGGTGCTCACACTAACACACGCATATGCGTAACAAACACTAATACCACAGCCGGTGCTCTCTTGGCCTATTTTTTTTTTTTATATTTAAAAACAACTCATAAAAACCTCCTTCGTGTAAATGAAAATTTTAAAGGTCAAACACTGTACGGCTCAATTTATCTTTAGTTATTTGTACAAGATACACAACTTCATAGTTCTCATCATTTTTATATATATACACAATAATTCCAAGTACATAACTTGCAATTTAAAAACGATCAAAAGCCTTTTTTATCGTACATTTGTAAATCAGATGATATAAATTTCAATCGTCTGTGCTACAATGAGTTACTAAGGCAAATACAACAATTAGACCACTAGTAGAAGCAGTTGCGGTCAAATGATTTTGCCATGGGAGTAGATGAAAAAACCTCTATAATAAATATTATAAAGGGAGCTATGCCTCCATACCCTAGAGCTTTTTTATTTGTATTACTAAATCAAGATGTTATTAAGGACTATTAGATGTATAAAAATTGTTTTTTTTTCGATTATTAAAAAAAAATTATTTACTTTATAATAATACTTCATTTAATTTTTCATAAATAAAAATTAAAACATAAAATTTAATCTTCTAAATTTGTAAAATTAATTTTGCTCAATAACTTTTAAATTGAATTATTAAATGTAAATTTTGCAAATATATAAAAACGAAAATAATACAAAAATATCATTTAGGGTATGTCAATGGAGGTTCTATGCCCCTGATCTTTTCCTATTTGACCGCCATTGTGTAAAAGACCTCAATACATGATTTTTCACTACAAATTTGGTTAATTTTACATAAAAATTACTCTGTAGCAATAATTTAAAACAGAGATGCCAAACGTAGAATACATCTCAAGAAACTCTTATGAAAATAAGTATTCAAGTATAAATAATAAACTGATGGATTATTTATTTTAAGAATTTTAACAAATTATTGGACACATTCTACGAATAGCTACAAATAATTCTAAAAGATTATTTTCTTAAATTGATTTATATTATAATTATTTAAAAACTAATTAAATTCATTGAACAAACAAAATATTCTAAATTGTTGCAAACAAACCACGAAAAATTAAATACTTAAAACAATAATTGACCGTTCTTCTATATATCCAATGATTATTATTATTATTTGCCTATAAAAAAATAATTAGTTACTCCTTAATAAATTTGTATAGAAAAATTTCTAAGTGAAACATTCAAAAACAAGGCATTTTAAATAACTAAAAAATTTCTTTCTCCCAGTAATTTATTAATTATTAACAACCACGTGCGATTTTCAAAAATTAATACGCTTGATGAAACAAGGGTTTAAATAAAATACACGATCTTCACTGTCTTTTTATTTTGATTAATTGGATCCAATATTATTAAAGCCAATAAATCATTACTATTTATTCATAAAAACTAATAATGACTAAACCTCTAGTTATTTATTGAAATTTATCTGCAAACATACATACGTCAGTGTAATAAATTCTTTTTATCAAGAAAAGGGCGTAACCTTTAACGGAATGTATGATCCAAAATAAATTAATGATCGTCTATTTTGAATTTCTCGAATGAACAAACTTTACTACATACTGGCGCATCAATATTGCATATATAAAACGCCGTTCAAGACAAACAATAAAATATAAACACTATGCTATGACCGTTACAATACTATAAAGAAAAATTAAGGATTTATATTACTGTAATACCGTTAAAATGTATTATTGAATTTATTTTTGAATACATTTAATACATATTTTGAATTTATAATATAAGCACTATCGTAAACTTAAACAATTTCTCAAGTTCAATTGTACGAGACACTACTTATTCTTAAATTAAAAATTATTCAATTAAAGCAAACATAATGTTCATTTAAATAGAGTGTCATCTCAAATAATATATAAATATATTTATAAATAATAAGATTAGTAAATATTCACGGCTAAAAATAATTAATTTAAATCTTATATAAAATACTCGTACGATAAAATTTTAATTGAATTTACCTGGTTGGCTTTGTTTATTTGTTTCTTGAGCCCCGCGAATGCCATTTTTAATACTATTTGTTGCTTCAACCACGACTTAAATTACCAAGTCCTAAAAAATATATTATTTACCTCTGTAATAATCAATTTTAACTTGGAGAAACACTAATTCATTTAATTGCGTTATAGTTAACTAAAAACACTATCTGTCACAGATCAACCGAATTCGGAAGTTATTGCAATAATACCATTGAACAATTAAGATAGCAGGGGTTCAAGTCAAAAAAGTTAATGGTAAATAGAACAAGTTTTACCTCAGGCGGGGTGTTAAAAAACCAGGGCGTACAATGACACTAGCTCGGCGTCGACGAGTTAAGCACTGACTCTTCTAACAATATTCGGACGCTTCTCATTTTTTTTTGTTTTGCATCAACAAGCGCAAGCGCTAGAAAAGAGCTGCCAACAACACTTACCAATGAGCGCGCTCACTTAACACCGGCTGGTTGGAAAACGGCGACTGTCGTTTTTCGGTTACAAGTCTTTTTTACCGTAGCAAATAACACAGCAAAATACGTCATAAAGTACATAATTAATACGAACAAATTACACCGTTATAGAGTTTTAATTTCAATCGCTGTAATCCAGACAGATAAGTAAAAATAACACGTTGGTATAAAATCAAATTTAATTTACACACCTTCAATTATTACAATACCATTGTTATGTTTTTTATCAGAAACCATTATTAAATCATTTATTTATAATTATAATAAGACTATATTTTGGTTGACTAAATTCAAAAAAACATTCCACCAACACAATTATTATGCATGTATAACATATCATTTTAAAACAAAACTAAACTACTGCTTTCAGTGATATAAATAAAATACTATATATTACATCATACTAAATATACTAATATTACTGGAAATTTATGATGGAAAAATGATACTTAGCTATCAGAGTATTTGAACTCAATTATAGATATTCATTTAGTCAATAATAAAAAATGAATACAGTAGTACTGTATGATGAAAAATGACAAGCAGAATAATCAAAATTATTTAAAACTTAATGGCTATAAAACTATCTTTAATTCAAATGTACTCACAACCTAAAGTTTGTACATCAATTTTACTATATAACAGATGTTACAAAGTTATAACTGTATTGTTAATTATAATAGTTATTTGAATTGTTTTTAATTTCTAAAAGTAACTAATGACCATGAATCTTTGAATGTTTGTTAATTTTCTGAAGAATTTTAACAACATCTCACTTCTAACATACCCAACTAGTTCTTGCACGACATTATACACATATTTTAAAAACTAGTAGGTTTTACCAAAAAATAGTTGATTTTGAAACGAAACTCTAATCTAAAACGTATAATAAAGAACACTTATATAATGTATATTACTTAATGTCAATATAACAACATATTCAAAATAATTGATGAAATAAAATCATTTAATAATTAAAAACTTAACAATAAAATCAGATAAATTAGGTAAAAATGTTTTTTTTTATAATATTATTTATTATAAATTAAATGATCATCTATAAAAAAATGTATATATATTATTTAGACACAAGATTTTCAAATAAAATGTAACAGTTCGGGTAGTTTAACTAATTAATGAAGTTCCAAAGAATATAAAAACTATAAAACCATATAATTTCCATTTATCATTATAATATAACAATGTACTTCTTGAATATTTGTATCAATTAAATGCTTATTTCTATTGAAAACAAGTAACAACTATTCATTTTTAGTCTCTTATCAATATTTAAAATAATATTTTATTATCTCTAATTTAATTTTTAATTTTTTCATTGAAAATATAGTAAATAATCTCTTTTAATGTAAGACAATAATCATTTATGATGTAAATCTAAATGAATAGTAAATAATATTTTATGACATATTAGTAAGAAATATTTTGTCAATAGTAATAGTATATTTAATACATTAAGTATTATAACATTATCAATATTTTATTATTATATCTAAGATATAACTTTACTTATTTAACTTATTAAATCTATAAATTTGCCGATAAACAAAGCAAATAAAAAAGTTTATATAATAAGTTACTTACAATTCTACAAATAAAATTAACACAAAAACAGAATGAACATGATTTTCTTAATGAAATTATGTAAATTTAATGAATATTAGAAGATGAAAATGGAAATACATAAAAAAAATTATAATTAGGTGAAAAATAATTTTAACATATGAGCTAAAGTTCTTTAAACTAAACAAAAATAGGAGTACTATATATTTGATATAAACTATGATATCAATAACCGGGACATCTCGTCAGATTCAACCAACAATTTCCAGCTGATTTCATTTTTAACTGATATTCAGCAGTACTGCCAATATCTCGGCATAATTATTAGAATTCAACATTTTTAATTCTTATGTGAACACATCAGGGTGGATTTATTAAAGAATGATGAGCCCCACTCAATTGTTAATATATTATTAAGATATTAAAATATTTGTGCTATTGGATAAATTTTATCAGAAATATAGAAAAAAATTTTTTGGTCGGGTTATAAACACAAATAATTTTAATATTATTTTACTATAAAAAATAAAAAAAACAAGAATAAATAAACCAAATAATGTAATAATTAAAAAAATAATTCATTCCTAATTATAAATCAAGAGTTGCTATTATACAATTAAAACTGAAATGTAAGTTATTGCATCCATGAAAATAGAATATAAATTTTAGGGATGCTAATGACATATTTTAATATTTTTTCCAATGTTACAATGTGTATAACAATACAAAAATGTGTCGTAATTAATTAGAAGGTTAACCCACAAATCCACCATCCGTTTCCCGAATCTACAGATCACAAATCGTACCTAGTTGAAGACATTAGGCTCGAAAATTAAATCATTTCTTTGGTTTCTGCGTAAACGGAGGAAATCCCCCAAAAAATACGATAAATAGTAATATTTAAAATTACTACTAAAATTTTTCTTACTGAAAACTGAACGAATTAAAACAAATTTTGTTTTGTAAATATCTTTCTTAGGCATTTCTTTTATTAGATGTAATTTTTTATTAAATATATGACCCATCAACTGCTCATAGGAAAGGATTCAAAATATTAACGTTAGCATGAAAAGTAGCCTTCTTAACATAACTTGTGAAAATGTTCCTGAAATATTGCAAGCATCAAACATATTTTATAATAAAGCTTATATTACATAATATAAGTTATAAAAAAATTATCGTTGCACTTAATCTTCTATATTTTACAAATAATTTATAAAAACTTATGGTTATTGTACACAGGGAAAATCTTTTAATATTAGATACTCGATTTCTCTAAAAATAATTATTATATTAAAGAATTTCTTTTTTTTCTATTTTTTTAGTATATATATTTCTTGTTTAATTAACTATTTAGTTTTTTGTTAAATTCATCCTTTATATCCTATAAAGATGTTAACCTTATTTTTTCAAATAGCAACATACAGTTACTACATAACTAGTTAGAAAGAAAATATTTTCAATAAAAATAAACCAAATAGAATAGAAATACCATAATTAATATAATTAAATATAAGGTAATTATAAAAATATTTTTAATTACTATTTGTGATCAATTTGACGTATCGTTGCATAAAAATTTGCATAAAAGCAAAAACTAAGAAACATGTATGTTTCTTTTCAATACAAGTTTTGTGAAAATTGTTTACAATTTCTAGAATGAATACTCAAATTTTAAAGCAGATTAATTTATGTTTAGACAGGACAGGACAACAGCCATTTTTCTATCAACAATATTTAAGTGAATTCATTATGGAATTTCGGCGATGATTCCGAATCTGACTTTCGATTTTTTCCGTCACGTCTAGTTTTTGGTATAATTACTAATTAATAATTAAAGAATTAAATCATGACAAAACATGGACAATTTTTTTTTACTTTTGTAATATAATTTGATTATGTTAAAAAAGATTTGTGTAAAATGTAGAAATTAATACAACTATAATCATTTTTATAGACTTTTAAGTTGATGAGCACTTTTCAGAATAAAAATCTAAATTTCCACTGTAACTATATTTGTTTTTATCTTATAATTATGAAATTGCTTACAGTTATTCAACTATTTGTAACACAAAAGTAAAAAAAATTTTGCAAATAATATTTAGTCACTTATATGAAAAAAAACAAGTATTAAATTATAAAATAGTAATATTAAAAATTTTCAGTTTTTTTTTTCAAATATTTTTTTTTTAATAATTGTGCTTTTTCCTATTATTTTAAGTAAAACACAAACATTTTTTTTTTTTTGAATATAAATAGATATTAACTAAGGTTATTGTAAAAATAGTTACAGTGAAAAAATCAGATTATAAGCTTGATTATATCCCCAATTAATAAAAACTAAATTATAAAATATATCATTAAAAATAAAAACAAATAATTCTTTATATTAACTTAAGGAAATTTTAAATTAACTCATCTACGTTCAAAATTATTATTACAAAACTATGACCTGGTAGATGAAGTTTAATTTATATTTAACGTTAATCATTTAAAGTTAATCAACTCTTTATATAAAAATTGAAATTAAAAGAGAAGTCATTTTCTTTTTTCTAGATATCTATGGAAAAATAATATCAATTAGATTTAATTAAAATAAACCTGTACACCTGCATTTAAACTTAAGTTCACTATTCTAACTAAAAAGGAGAAACAAACACAAGTTTCACTAATTTAAATCAACTTTAAGCAATATATAAATTGATTACTTTGCCTTTCAAATACTTAATACACAAATATAAATTTAATAATATATAAAATCGAATTAATAATGTTGGTTACTTAATTATTTAAGGTATTTCTATTCAAAAGTTAATACCAATGTGAATCAATTCCTATTCTAATATTTTCAATTATCATTTTTCAAATAAAATCAAAAAATATCCCATTCTTTATTTACCATATAAAAATCAAGTTTAAAACAGTTTTAAAAACATTATCTTTTAATTAACACATAAATAATAATCACATAAATCTTTTATACATATTTTGTACAAATAACTTTAATATAAAATGTATTACTAGAGATCTTATTAAAAAAAGAAAATGTATAGTAATAACTTATTTGTCTTGTAAAAATACATTTTATTCATAATTCAAAAACCTAACTTCATCATAAAATTATTACAAATTAATATTTTCATTATATCTTAATACTGAAAAATCACATACAAATATCAATTTAGTGTGAACTAAATTTCTATGATGTTAAGTTCAATTTTTATATGAATGTATGCAACCAAATATTATTATTATATTTAATATAATATTTTACAAAAACAAATATAACTCTAGATAAATAATAAATCAAGCGCATAATTTTGAATTCCTTACATTTAATGGTTTTCAATTTTGAGCACAAAATATATAAAGTAAATACTGTTTGTATAAATAAATACTTATATGTAATTTCTATCATTAAGAGCATAAGCACTTCAATCATTTTGTTATGAACTGTTATTTTATAATTTTTTATTTATAAAATTGATAAAGATAGTTCTTTTATAATAAATAATAATTGCCGCATTATCAACAATCTGGTTAATATGTCCTAACAATTCCACAAAAATATTTAATTGTTATCATAGCATAAAATTATGTACATAATTTATCATTGTAATATAAAAATTATAAATGATAAAACTGAAAATAATAATTTTATAAAAGGTCTTTTCTTTTATATCTATGAATTTAAATAACTAATAATAACTAAATAACCTGTGTCACAATTAATTTAAAAAAAATTGTGCATTTACAAATTTGGTGTAAAAAATATATTTAAAAAAAGTATGGTCTATGAAATAACTATACAAAATCAAATAAATTTTACACATAATATAGCACCATTGAATCAGAAAATGATGCAATAATATTAAATTCTATTTTTATTTATATATTCTTTTAAATTAATTTATATATACTGTAAGTGCAAACATAAAAACTAGCACAATTTATTCTCTGTCTGTTAATTAAATGTAAGTTCTTTATTATAAATTAATTTTTCAATTTTAAAAAATATTCTTTAAGGTCACGTAAGTGGTTCTCTTGTTGTATTTGGCAACATCAGACATAAAAGTCCACCTCCTAAAAAAATTATTATTTAGATAATCTAATGTGAATTGAAAATTTTCGTGAAACTAGTATTATACATACTACACGATATTCTTACCTATAAGAAGCACTGCTACTATGTAAGTAGGTAATGGACAGTAAAGATCCAACAATGTAGCAATTACAATATTACCAATAATACCACCAAGACGAGCAGCTACCATTGATATTGCCATACCAGTAGCTCTTTAAAAATAATTTATAAATATAAATACAGAACAAATTTATTGAAACAACAAAATTACCTTAAGTTTGTGGGAAATATTTCAGTAATCAAGCAATCTAATGCAGCATTACCACAACTTATAACACTACTAAAAATAGCTGATATTATAAGATTCTGTTTTTTATTTGTAATAAGTGACATACCAACAGCACAAATTCCTGAAGCCATTGTGCTGAAAACTAAATTATTAAAATTATGCAAATAATAAAACATAAATGTTATAAATCACATATGTATCATAAAGAAATTACACAGTAATTTACCTAAAAAGAATTTTCTTCCTAAAGTGTCCATTCCCAAAACTGCAAGAATATTACTAGGTATTGCTGCAGCAACAGTAATTAATGATTCTAGAAATACACTGCTTTCAATTTTATCAGAACATAAATCAACATGTGAATGAGATCCACTATTTACAACAAAATCAGTTACCTAAATTTTGTTAGTATCCAGTTAGTAATCTAAATAAAAGAAAATATAAATCTTATTTTGAACATATAATAATATACCTGACAAACATAAGCATTTTCACTGCCATTATGAGCACGTGCAAACTCATCAAATCTATGAAAAAGCTCAGGAAACCACATCATTAGACCATAATATCTAAAAAAATGGATTTAGTTGATACTACAATTCAATAATTAAAAATGCTATAAACCATTAATACCCAATGTGGAAACTGAGATTAATCACAATGGATATCCAAGTATACTTTAATATAGGAGGCATAAACAATAACTTTGTGTTTTGGGCAACTTCATCAGTCATTTTTTTAAAAGACTTCTTTTTTAATTTTTCTTGGTCTAAAGCACTTCCCTTAGTAATCAAGCTTTTTACCTAGAATTTTTAGATTAATAAAAGAATAAAAAAATTTCAATAAAACTTACTGGGTACATTTCTGGATCATTGCCGGTATTTACAGCATAAATTTTTTTAAAAACTTTTAATGCTTCGGCATGATTATTTTGAGCCAACAAAAATTTTGGACTTTCCGGTAAAAATAACAAGAAGATAGCAACAAGAACACTAGGAATAGCACAAATGGCTAAAAATATTCTCCATGAGTTATATAAAAATAATGGAGACTTTATACCAATTTCTTGAGGTATAATAATCCAAGCAAGTGCTAAAACATACAATAAATTATCAATGATACAAGAAAAATATGCTATTTTAAGGCTTACTTGCAACAAATAAATTTCCTAGAGTCCAGAATGCTGCCATAGAGCTTAACATAGTGCCCCGTTTATACTTTGGCTGAAACTCAGCAAAGTAAGACCATATAACTGGACCACTTCCTCCCAATCTGTAAGAAATAATTAAGATAAAATAAATGAATAAGTCAATATCTCAATGTACTAACGCAGCTCCATTAAGGAATCTAAAGAACATGAAGACGCTATATGATTGTGCAAATGTAGATGCAAATATACAAAGGGCATTCATAAAACTAATGACAATAAGAACTTTTCGACGGCCAAGTGCATCAGCTAGAGAGCCCCAAATATAGGCTCCTGCCATCATACCTAAGAAATATTAAAAATTATGCATAATTTAAGTCAATTTAACTCAAAATAAGTAAACATACCTATAAAAATGATTGAGTTAAGCCATCCTTTTGATGAGGTATTTAACTTCAAGTCACACTGAGCAGATGGTAATATAAATGACATACAAATAACATCCATTTCCTCACTGGTACTAACAAAGCCACACACAACCAAAAGTAAATAATGAAATTTTCCATATCCTAAATTCAATTATTGAGATTTAATTTACGACAGTTAACATTTTATTAGTTGTGAATAAAAACAACCTGTAAGTTCAATTGCATTTTCAAAATCTGCCACTTCTTTACTTTGGAATGCACCATTTTCAATGCCTTCTAATTTTTTATCAAGTCGATCTATAGTTCCACCTTTAAATAAAACTTATTTTAATTATTTAATATCTAATATTTTAAATATTAGTAGAATTTTAATGTTAAAATTTACCTTTAATTTTTAGATCGATGGTTTCCTGATTCTTCACTCTTCCATTGTTAAACTTTACATCTGTAAAAAAAGAATAAATCAACTGACAGTTCAAATAACATAATTTTTTATATTAAAAGCTAAACAGGCAACTATATATTGTAGATGTAAAGGTTATTCACGTAAAAAACAAACAAAAATGTTGACACATAATTTATAGTTCCATAATTATTGTTTTTTTTTTTATCAATCGAAATAAATAATAGAAAATTTCTCAACTTTATAGAAATTTAGTTCAATATAAATTTAGCTTAGTATTTTTTATATTAGAACGTAGTACGAAAAATTATTTTATAGAATTCTATATTTGAGTCAATGGTAATTCTGTGATTACTAAAATAAATTCATACGTGATTTTTTCATAAAAACTTTAAAAAAACCATTTTGAATTCATTCCAATAACTAAGTAAAAAATTGTAAGATTATAATTATCCCTATTGTTTGCATAAATGTTAACTATGCTTACACACTTTCGGAGGTTTTATAATTAAGCATTTCTACGAAATTATGTAGTTCTTCTGTTAAAATTATCGTTCGTATATTATGATAAAAGAACATAATAATTTACACAAATAATTTTTTACAACTCAAATGTAGTCGCTTCAATAAAATATAGGATACAACACTTCCTTGCACGTAGTCCAATTCAAAGGCCGAATTCATCAACGGTAACAATCACGAGTGCCGTCACTTACATACACAACAAAGCCATACATATACACACCTCTTGTGATGCAGTCGACAATGTTGCCAGTGATTTATTTATACAGTAACTAAGTTTACTACACTACTACTATAATCATTAAAAAAACTACACGATAAAACGTTTTTGGCTGGTTCGAAGTTCACGATTCCAATAATGATATATGTTGGAATTAATGACAAGAAAGGAATTGACACAAAAAGATATTTCGAAAAGATTATTTTAAACCGATATCAGTTATATTGGCTTTTACGTTTAATTCAACAATTCATTTATCTCAAACGATTAGTATATTATAAACGTATAAATGATAACTTATTTATCACCGTTAACATAGTAAATAGAAGAAAGAACAATATTCGATTAAATTCAACGTTTATGTTCACTAATTATAAAATGATGGGAAAAGATTTTATGACATAATTATCCAACAATAAATAAATTAAAATAAAATACAGTCATTCATAAGATAACGAACAAAGACTAGCTGGAACATAAAAAAACTACGAATAAAAATTGGATCAAATAATAAATGTAATCCGATAAAATCCAGAGACGGGCAAAACCTTTTTTTTTTGTCGTGAAATATTTTCAAAAGACTTAAAATACACTTAATATACTTTAAGAGAAAAACAAATTTATTAAAATAAAAAAATACTTTTTTTTTAAGAATATTTATCAATAATAAATGATTATTATCGGGGCTTATGACTTCATTCATTTATAAAACCAGATATGGAATATATTATACCAGAGGCCAAATTTTTTTTGCGAGACCATAGAAAAGTTTTTTTTTATAAAAACTGCAGGTGATAAACAAAATAATAATAATCAGTATTGAAATCGTTTTTTTCGGTTTTTAGAAAACTATTCTCAGTCCCTGATTATAATACTTATATGCAAGTACTGATATCATTTGATTTGTTTGTGGGTTCGATTTCGGTTTTAAAACCCGGTTTTGGGTTGAATGTGTTTCGGTTTTGATTAGGAAAACCAGAAGAACTTGGTTTTGACCGGTTTCAGTCTCTAATAATAAAAAAAATTTAAAATATTTAAATTTATTTTATCAATTAGGCGGAATAAAAGACTAGACTGCTTTGCAGGCCCCTATTACTCGTGAGCCCGGGAGCCATGGCCCTCCCTAATCCGAGCCTCTATGAAGTTTATTTTAATCATCCTGAGTACATCAATAATAAATAGTCATGTTAGTTTGTCTTAACACTAAACAGTGTATATTAATTAGACATTTTTAGGAGATATAGGATTCATAATTTAATAATTGTTTATGTAATTTAAAAAACATTTAATAAAAAACAGAAATTACATAAAACCTACCTAATTGATAGAAAAAATACTTTAGAGTATTTATCGAGTAATATATTTTGCCCTATTTATTAACTTGATACTAATTAAATCAAATAATAATTAGGTACATTCCAACAAAAACATTTACACGTTTAACAAAAACATATTTGTTTCAAAAATAATACATTTTTTAATCTAACCATGCTATTATTATTAATATAAAAGAATTAACAACACCATGGTTGGGTTAAAATAAAAATACTTTTAAAAAAAAAGATTAGTTAACCGGCTAAGCTACTGATTAAACAACCCGATTGATGTAGAAAATGTCGATTTTTAATAGAATAATTGTTACTACAAATGTAGCCACTAATTTACAATAATTTTTTAATTTAATAAGATATGTCTACAGAATATTAAAGAAATTAATATTCGTTTATTTCATCAAAAAGGCTTAGTTAAATGTTTTTTTTTTTTTTAAGAATATTGTAGTTTATGCATTTGAAGACTTATCAATGATTTCAGTGTATGTTATAAAAAAATGTTTAGGAGAGAAAAATACTGAATAGAGTTCATGGAAAAGGATTGTACATAAGGCTACATTGTAATCAATTTTAGAAGTACTTTAATATTTCGATATATGAATTATGTTCTGCCGGCGCTAAATTTATGTAATAAAGACTTTTTTAACCATTTTAATACACGCAGATTTTTTGAAGTTTTCCATTTATATATAGCATATTTTTATACTGGTGATATAATTCTAAGATAAATATTATTCCAGTAATTGACAATACAAAACATGATTTTATAATAAATTGACATAAACTCTTTTTCTTAAAAATTAAGATAATACATTTGCGTCGCCAAATACATAACATGGAAAAATAGTTTTAATGAACTGTTGATGTCACCTTCGTAATTAAAGTGATAAAAAATATAAAAATTAATTTGAGGTATTAAAAAAATGACAGGAACATAAAATTGGTTTATTTATCTATTAATTTATCTCTCTATTTATTAATTATAATTTTGTACTATTTTAAACGACGATAAAGAGGCTTGGAAGATCAGCAATGAATTTTAAACAATAAATAGAAAACTATTTTGATAAAAATATGAAGTTACACAAAAGTTATTCTATTTCAGCTGAACTTTCTATTATAACTATAATTGAAATGTCTATCAATAGATAATTAATTGTAAGGAATTAAAAAATATACATTTTGTATTTTTTACATGATAAATATTCTAAAAAACGCAATAATAGAAAAAAATAAACATTAAGTTCGAAAATTTTAAAAAGCTGCAACTTTATTTTTTAAAGATTTTTTTAGTAGTTTTTGAGTGAAAAAAATTAACAGCCCTATGAATATTTTGACGATTAAGTCAATGCTGTAATTAATTTTGGCGTATGCCACCTAATAAGTTATTTAACTAATTGTGAAGAAAGTCACAAATACATTGAGATTCCTTTTGACGCTATCCTCTCAATTCCTCATAAAATAATAAGTTTTTTTACATTTCTTTTATAAACAATGTCTTGCTTATGCCAATTAGTCCACAGTGTATATATATACACTATCCTCTAGGGATATCTTTTTGAATCATTATATCAAATTTAAAAATTATTATTTATTTTATTAATTAAATCCAATACTCAGCCCAAAATAATTAAAATTTATAAGCAAGTAATTTAAATAGTCACATTTTCTATAGTAAATTTTTTTTTCCGAAATATTTCTAAATATATTATAAATTACAAAAACAATGAATACTTTTACTAAAAAAATTAATTTTACATAAAATATTGGTATTTTGAATAAATGTATATTTCTCATTGTTTTCTAGAATTAAAAAGACTATACAAATTGCATGATTTAGATTAATTAATTTTTTTTTTTAGATAGATAAGAATTTAATAGTATTCTCACCAGGATATTTAAATTAAGTATTCTGCCAAAATGATAAATGAGAGAAAAAGCAGCATCCGTGCTTCACTTCCAGTCTATATTATAATAAAATGCGAATAAATTCTTAAGTATTCGTTCAAAAGTATCACTTTTAGTAGTCACTTTCTTAAATAGTTTTCTATTTTTTAAGCTAGTTTAATATATTTATTGCCTTAAAAAAAAAAAAATAAATAAAGTTAACACCTCTATAAGAAACAAATGGTGAATATAAAAATGATTCTATAATAGATAAAAGAAAATATAAATGGACTTTTTGTGGGCTAATAGGTATAAACAAAAGAAAATTTTATCAACGATTTCGTTTAAATTTTATAATTTAAAAAATTATTGTTAATTTTTAATTGGTTTATAACAAATAAATGGAGATATAATGCAACAAACAAAAAAACGAAAATTGTGTCAAAAGCATTATTTTAAGAGAAATTGAGTGACTAACGTTAAAATATTTTCCTGTACTTTGCAAATTACGATTGGTCCATCAGTCATGAATGCTAATTTTTTTTATATCACAAAAACTACTAAAAAAAATTTTTTTTATAAAAATAAAATACAGTTTTTTAAAATCTTAAGTATATTTTTTTCATATTTGGTATTTTTCCCCCAGATATTTGACATGTAATATATATATATATATATATTTGAGTTCTTCGCAAATTTTTCGATTGGTAAAATTGTCATAATTATGAGATAAAATGAAATAATTTTTTTGTAAAAAAAATCAGACTAACTATTTTTGTGTTAATTTCATAATTATTACAATACAATATAATTAATATTGCTACCAATAGATAAAAATGTTTGTTTTTTACATAAAAAAATCGGGAAAAGCACAATTATTAATTTAAAAAGATTTGAAACTCAACTATTAAAATTTAATATTTAATAGTTTTTAATTAATACTACTTAAATTAATAATTTAATACTTGGTTTTTTTGATTTCCATATTGAGTGACTAATCGTAATTTGCAAAATATTTCAGACTTTTTCGTTACAAATAGTTGAATAACTGTAAGCAATTTCATAATTATAAGATAAAAATAATAATAGTTACAATAGAAAGTTCAGCTTTTTTTTCCTGAAAAATGCCCAGCAAATGTCAAATTTAAAACGAGTTAAATTTGACGGATAATCCCTAATTTTTGACAACTCTTTCATCAAACTATGTTAGAAAAAATAAATATTTTTCCTTTTTTCCATAATGATTTCATTGATTAATTACTAATTAGTGATTTTTTCAAAAACTAGATGTAATGGAAAAAATCTGAATCCAGATTCAGAATTAGCGTTAAAACTTCCAGTAAAATCGCCTAATATTGTAGACAACGAAAAATGTACATTTGTAGTCCTGAGTAATTATTAAGATATTATTAGAATAAAAACTGTACATTATACATGTGTATGTTATTTTAAGTGTAAATTAAAATGAAACACATTAACGATATAATGATTTTAAAAATGTATGATGCAATTGACTAAGTGTAATTATAGGACGTATCAGTGCCGAAGTAATCAATTATCGTTGGGTTTGACGGGCAATAAGAGTTGTAGTAATCACTTAGTCACCAAATTATTGCTACACCTTAATATCGTACACTGAATTTTGGAGAATAGCAAAAGCAGTAAATTTTAATAAATACCATGTTAGTTGACGATTTTTCATCTTCCTTCCATAACAATTTCAATACAAGCCGTTAAATTTACACGAATTAAGTTGACTGCCAATTACTTACCGTTAGCTATTAAAAATCATTGTGCGTTTAAGATTTCGGGAACACGGTTTTGGATTCCGTAGTTACAAAAAATCAAAACACCAATGTTTCGTATCAGTTCAAATACAATAGTCAGTGTTCTACAAATGCCAAATTTACACGAGAATGTGACTGTAAGCATTCCATAACGAAGACAGATTAGCGCACATAAATGTGGTGCTTGTACAAGTTAACACAACAGTATTGTCTCTTCCGAGTACATCCAAATAGCAACTACCGGAGTCAAACATTAACATTTACAATCGCGTATACCATTAATTGTCGATTATATTCTGACACTAAATAGTCAGAGCCCTTACGTGTACGTGTATATGTTGTCGCACTGTGAAGAAAACGCCCCGACAAGATGGAAATCAAAAGAAATGGTCGGTTTTTTTTTTTTCTGTAAATTTCGAAATACAAGCGATTTTTTCTCTCTTATCAACGGTTAGGTCGCGTTGACCGATGATAAAAGTTCCCTGTGTGTGTCGGCAGGCAAACATCATTGTTGTGACACGAGTTTACAATAAAACATAACGCAACACACGTTTAAACGGCGTACAATCGAAAGCAAACAACATAAACACGCGAACGTGCGTAATCACGACCGTTTTTTATACGATTGTCGAAAAATAATCGCAGTTTACAATAATTGGTCGTAGCACTTCATTAGCGTCGCAGCGACTTTTTCAGGCACGTCGAACAACTGACGGAAATCGCAGTAGATCAATTAGCCTAGTGTATGTGTTAACCGATTGCGCACTACAAATTAATGTGTCGAGTGTTGATATTCAAAACTCTGTGGCGCGGAAAACCCAATGCACTAGTTTTCATCTTGAATATAAAAATAACGAAAATTTTACCTGGACCGTTGTTGGATCCACTGTGATCTACCACCATTGTTGTGTTTGTGGTCAGTGCAAACCGGACCCACACAGGTTTTGTTTGTACTTGACGGGTATCATAAAACTGGTATCATAACTTATCTCTAACCGGTCGTGTGGACGAGAGTTTTTCTGGAGGCAACGTCCAATTCATCTGCAAAACACATTAAACGTCTAGGATTATAAAAGTCGGATGTGTCCAATAGGATTGCACGGGCCGCGCGTTCAACGAGTGGACCACTACTGACCACCGACCGCTCTCACCTTAGGAGCCACAGAAAATGAAACGCTCGTGAGTAAAAAAAAAAAACAATACCAGTCGACTTTGATTAGGTGGTAGTTACTCGGGACCAAAACAACGCGCGTCCCCGCTGGTTGGTCGAGTTCATTAGAATGTGGAATGAAAGGCTGTACTGAGCGAAGAGCTGCAGCGGAACGAGATTTTTACACACATGTACACAGGAGAGAGGAGTGTGCAGACCTTGAAATGGACAGCCGCCTCGGGCCTCGTACGAAAATCAGATTGTCAATCCACTCTGATGATAATACCATCATCACGATTATTAATGAGCTGCGGTAATTTAAAAAACCACGGACAATTTGTCAAGTATAACCCTTAATTGGTTACATTTAAGTAACACAAACATGATGATACTGACCATTGATCGAGAATTACGCAAATGTATTCTGCGGTCACTTTTTCAGGGGCAGATTTAAACAAATTTATGTCAATGTGTAAAAGCCATTCACGGATTGTCGTATTATTTAATGTATTCACACATTTATCATAAAAAACATGGATATATTCTAAGTAAAATTTTTACTAACGAAATTTACGCTTTAATCAATTACCCTAAATTTACTGAACCTATTACTTGAGGTGCGATAATAGAATTTTGATTAATTAGAGCACATTTTATTATCATCTAACATCTGTGTCAACACGAAATTTTAAATAAGTTTTAAATATTTTTTTATATTTCAAAATGTGTCAACTAGAAGGTCTATTGTTTTTTTTTTTTTTTTGGGGGTTTTACCCAATTTGATTTATAAATTCAAAAATATAAATTGATTTATCTAAAGCATGCTTTCTTGTTTACCAATAGTGTAAGAATCGTTTAATGATAAAAAAAAATTATAAATATATATAATACTCAAAAATATTTTTCTTTTTCTATAACAAAATTGGACTGCTTAAGAACCTAGGACCACAAAAACTTCTCAACAAATAATGATATGAATTCACTATGTATTATGAAATTCTGTTGTAATTACTATTGATCACTTATCATTGTATATCAATAAATGTCTGACTTTTCATTTTGATATGTTATAATAAGCACGATACAAATAATAAATAAAATAAAAAAGTTATAACAAGAAAAAATAAAATTTTAAAAAAATATATAAAAATTTTGCTATATGTTTACCTGATAATTTCAATACCAATTATAGTTATTACTATTTTAATACTACTATGTTCAAAAACTTGCTAACTTTTTAAAAAAAAAATTGTTTAGATACAGTCAGTAAAATACAAATTTTATTGTTGAAATGTACATAATATTCTCGGCATTCCACAAATATGTAATTTATTAAGAATAATACTGCAACACGTTGTAGTTTTCGAAACAACCAACAATTATTATTTTTTATTCGAGTTTATATTTGATTAGCTAATCTAACTACGAAAGTACTCCATTAATGACCCTGCATAAAATAATTGAAGTAAAACAATTTCAAGATGCAAAAAACATGTGCAAAGTAAATAATTGTCTCGTCGTATGTTACACACTTTGTGCGCCGAAAAATAACCAATAACGTGCACATAAAAAAACTGTCGAACAACTCTAAGAATGGAGTTTCAAAAATGTTCGTTTACTGCACAGCACATCATATTAATTATGATATCATTAACAAACTCAATGCAATCAAACAATAATTCATATTAAATTAGCATTAAGATTAATTAATAACATCTCATAAATTAAAAACATAGAAATATAATGTTTATTTAATCGACAAACACCACACTGTAACGCAATTTAATAGCTAGATACTACTTAATCTACATATTGACGAGTGTAATTTAATAAAAAAGTAAATTGTATTTCCCCTGAACAATTTTAATGTTAACCTTTGTTTTGGCGCATTACCATTTGAAAGCTTTGAATTTCCTGCAATTTACCTCTCATCGGAATCAAACTGTGTGTGCAACTAGGCTAATAGGACGTAAGTTATGCGCGTCTAAGGTACGCTGCATAACGTGTAAAAAAACGATCATACTTAATTCTATTGCAAAAACGTTCCCGTCATCGGAATAAAAAAACAGTAAACGCGTTTCCTGCAGTCGGACAACATTATCAGCTATTTTCAAGGCGTTTAATTATTTCACAAATAAAACTACGAATAAGTGAAACATTTTCAGTGCATCAATTCGCGTTTGCATTTGTCAAATGATTTATGCTGATTATATGTTTTCAGTCAAAAAGACGTAAAAAAAAAAAAAAAAAAAAACTGTACTCCGACACAACAAATACGCATCTTGACGTCATTTCATTATAGTCACATATTAGTAATAAAGGAACCAAAACTCAGTCACATAAAATATGCTAAATAGTAATATTTTAAATTCGACGCACGACAAATTTTCTTAAGAGTACTCTTTGAAACAAAACATCTCAATGAGGAGCCACATCGAGTTCAATTATTGTTAACGTAAACAATAGTTTTGACATTAATATAACGAGGCTATCATAAAAACAACAATGTATTACCGACCAAGTAAAAAAAAAAAAAAATCAGACAATTATATACCAAGAAATTATATACACTGCACTGAAACTGAACAGCTAAGATTCCAAGTACGGACCAAGTAAATTTAAAACGAAATAGCATTTAGCTGTAAGCATAAATTCAATAGGTTCTCGATAGAGGAAAAAATCAATGCTAATTGAGATTCTAGCATAGTTGTTCAAGTCTCCAAACGGATAAAACGCAGAAAATTCACAAACAACAGTAAATTTTCCCGTTTTCAGAACAACCAGACACACGCATTAAATATGCAAAACGATAACTATTAAAATCATAACTTGTTTAGAATTTTTTATTAAATTTTAAAATCAGTCATGTTTAATTCCAACGACGCGATACGACTCAATACATTTATTATACAAAATCATATTGATATTGTCCATGAAAATTGTTCGACGCACGCAGAAGAACTAACGTTCTTGATTATAATGAATTCAACAAATTATAATATATTAATTTCACATTGACCTGACGTACGAGAAAGTAACCAATAACTCACAATTTCATATTGCCGCCAAGTATGACTTCTCACTGTGAGGCATATTATTACGGAATGACACTTTGGCTGGTTGAATTCGCAACGACGTGCTCACTCGGTTAATCTGAAAAAAAAAAAACCAAATACCAAAATGTATTTTTTTACGCGCAACGTCTAATTGACAAACATCAAATAAAATTAAGTGCCTCGTACAATCTATTTTATTCAATATACACATACTAACAAAAGAACGAACAGTAGGCACCCTACGGTGGTACAGTAATGAATGTACATATCGTGGAGTTCAATATACGTCGAATTAAGTGTCAAGTCACACTCACATAACAAAAATGTTCTAACCTAGCACGTTTCATTAACATGTATGTAACCATGAATGTGTAGCCTCCTAGCACGTCTGCTATAAATTTATAGCCAACAATTGTAGACATTTCATCAGCAAATAACATCTAGGAACTTGCCAAGCATTTATTTATGACGAATATTGATTGAATTCGTGTATTGATACTTATTTTGATTACTAATAAAAAGTTGAAAAAAAAAAATTCTCTTTAATTTATTTGTGAAGCGAATTATCGAGCAGTAAACACCGCGATATTGTACTAGAGGCCCAGTCTGATGCATGAATAATAATTAATGACACTTAATAACGTAAAGCCAGGTATGGCTAATACAGACATTTATACAGAAATTAATGAGTATATAAAAATACGAAGGACGAGAATTGTTCTCTTCTAATCCTTCATATAATTACTCTAAAAATAATTATACCACAACTATGAGCTGTAGTCGTTTATTTAATTACTACACAATCATTTTCCCAGATTCGAAATCATTTCCTAATGAAAACACTCCTGTTTATCAACGGCTCCATTAATCGGTTAACATATTTTAAGTCCTAGACCCATCAGATATTTTTTAACTGGCTTATTCGGATTCGTCAATTTACTTTAGAACCCCTTAAATGTCTATTTATTGAAGTATACTTATTACAAATTTAAAAACTTCCTTAAAACTCGCCAGTCGGATAGATAATATCATATTCAAACATATAAAAGTATACTGAAAAAACAAATTATAGCAAGTCTTTAATTTAAAAATATATAGAGGTACCTTTGATTAATTAGAGTTAAATAATTAATCATCAATGCGTATAATAGGCAAGCAAAAAAAAAAACGCCATCTTCAATCAAGGATGGACGCAGCTGGATGATTTTTTACTATCCAAGTGATATTAATATTCATCATTAGAGTGGAATAATAGTGCAGAGCACTTTTCACACAAGTTAACAAATATCTATTGTCCGAGAGTAATTAATTATAAAATTAATTGTTTTTACCTTATAGGTAACAAATCCTGGGAAATCCTGAATGAATAAATTTGAGATATGATCAAAGTTTATAATGTTTACTATTGTTAATTATATAATAGAGTTGGTAAATAAATCCCAATGACGAAATTTAATGGCAGTAAATACGATCACTCATTATTTGTCGGGAAATATTCTCTAAAAAAACACAAGTATTGTGTTTTATTTTTTATTAAGAATATTTACTTAATTTTCCAATTA